ATCCCATAGGAATGCATTGAAATTCAATTAATGCGTTCCTATGGTCAAAAAAAGTCCAATCAAAGCCAAATTTGGTACAACAAGAGTTTATTAACTGCTCTTTAAAGTCACACATACTTTAAAGAGCATATCAAAAATTGAAGGAACAATAAATTAAGTTTCTAAACATGACAGGAAAAACATTTAAAAATCAATAAGGGTACATTACATTTTCTAAGACTCTGGGGACCACTCGAAGAAGGTTCCTCTTCCACTCTTTGCTTCTTGCTGAGGAACCTGTCCATGGTCTGCTGCTTCATCCGCCTTTTCAGCAGCTCCCTGAGAGGCGACATGACCGTCAGTATCAAAAATGTTCGCTTGGTCATGTGCCACGTGCTTGTCAGGGTGGTGCCGCTCTGCAAAGCCTGCACCTCATTCCACTTCTGGCAAATGTCCCTCAGTTCTTTGGAGGACAGCCGTTCCTCAGTTGCTTCCTCCTCTTCCAGCGAGGCCTGCTCCTGCGCAACCTCTGACTGCAGTTCAACCAGCTCCTGGGTGGTCAGCTCGTGGTCGTGCTCCTCCACCAGCTCGCAAACGTCCTCCTCTGTGACCTCCAGGCCCATGGTCCTCCCCAAGGCAACAATGTCCTGCACCACTGTCGACTCTGGTGCATCAGAGTCACTTGGTGCCACACAGTCCGGCCACAGGCTGCGCCAAGCGCAATTCAAATTCCTCTGGCTGATCCCCTTCCAGGCCGTGGTGATCATCTTCAAGCAGGTGACGATGTCGAAGTGGTCCTTCCAGAATTCCCGCAGGGTGATGGTGGTGCAATCAGTCACCTCGAAGCATCGCCTGAAAAGCTCCTTGGTGTAGAGTTTCTTGAAATTGGCGATGACCTGCTGATCCATCGGCTGGAGCAGTGGCGTGGTGTTAGGCGGCAGGAACATGATGTTGATGAAGCTGAACTCCTCCAACAAGTCCACCTCAAGGCCTTTAGGATGAGCAGGAGCATTGTCCATCAGAAGCAAAGCCTTCAGCGGCAGGTCGTTGTCCAGCAGGTACTGTTTGACAGCAGGGCCAAAGGCAAGATTGACCCAGTCCACAAACAGCACACGTGTGACCCAAGCCTTGCTGTTGGATCACCACATGACACTCAGCTGCTCCTTGTCGACCTTGTGTTTCTTGAAGGCCCGTGGGTTCTCCGAGTGGTACACCAGCAGGGGCTTGATCTTCAGGTCGCCGCTTGCGTTGGCACAGAAGAGCAGGGTCAGACGGTCCTTCATGGGCTTGTGGCCAGGCAACTTGGCCTCCTCCTGTGTGAGGAAAGTCCTTTTGGGCATCCTCTTCCAAAACAGCCCGGTCTCGTCGCAGTTGAAGACCTGCTGTGGAACGTAGCCCTCCGTCTTCACAACCTCCAGGAACTCCAAGACAAAGTCTTCAGCCGCAGGAACATCAGAACTGGCAGCCTCTCCATGCCTGACCACGCTGTGGATTCCGGATCTTGCCTTGAACCGGTCAAACCAGCCTCTGCTTGCCTTGAAGACTTCTGGCTCGGCCGAGGTTCCTGGCTGTTCCCGGATGAGGTCTGCGTGCAAGGCCTTGGCCTTCTCACAAATCACGGCCTCAGTCACTGTGTCCCCTGCACGCTGCTTCGCTTCTATCCAGATGAGGAGCAACTTCTCGACCTCCTCCAGAACAGCTGGGCGGTTCTTCACGATCCTGGTGACTCCTTGGCTGCATCAGTCGCAAGGATCTTCTCCCTCATTTTCAGGATGGTGCCGATGGTCGATGGGTTCCTGCCGTACTCCCTGGCGAGGTCCGTCACACGCATTCCACCGTCGTGCTTCCGGATGATCTCCTTCTTCATCTCCAGCGTCACCTTCTCCTTCTTCCTCTCGCCGGCCTCCGCAGCAGCAGCAGTCTTCTTGGGTCCCATGGCAGCACAGCTGTTACCTTTGTAAAACTCAGAAAAGGAAATAAAAAATCAGCAATTCAAACCCACAACCAAGTCCTTGAATTCCAAACACCCAACCCAAAATCCAAAAACCCCCAAAAAAAGTTTTAAAAGTTTAACTTACAAAATGGCTGCAAATCACCAAAGTCTTCAAAATCCTCAAATGGCTGCAAAAGAAGTTTTGGGAAAGCTTTAAAAATCACCAAAGTCTTCAAAAACCTCAACTGTTCCCCCAGCCCCTCCCCAACTGTTGCAAACCCCTCCCCAACTGTTGCAAACCCCTCCTCAACTGTTCCCCAACCCACCCAGCACACAGAAATTCAAAACCCAGAAAATTTTTCAAAAAACAACAACATGGCCCAATGGTTACAGAAAACCATAAAAATTCAAAAAAAAAAACACACAAGCTCCCAGATTCCTGCAAACCCCTCCTCAACTGTTCCCCCAGCCACCCAGCACACAGAAATTCAAAACCCAGAAAATTTTTCAAAAAAAAAACAACATGGCCCAATGGTCACAAAAAATCATAAAAATTCAAAAAAAAAGCACACAAGCTCCCAGATTCCTGCAAACCCCTCCTCAACTGTTCCCCCAGCCACCCAGCACACAGAAATTCAAAACCCAGAAAATTTTTCAAAAAAAACCAACATGGCCCAATGGTCACAAAAAAATCATAAAAATTCAAAAAAAACCACACAAGCTCCCAGATTCTTGCAAACACCTCCCCAGCTGTTCCCCCATCCACCCAGCACACAGAAATTTAAAACCCAGAAAATTTTTTCAAAAAAAACCAACATGGCCCAATGGTCACAGAAAACCATAAAAATTCAAAAAAAACCATACAAGCTCCCAGATTCTTGCAAACACCTCCCCAGCTGTTCCCCCATCCACCCAGCACACAGAAATTCAAAAATTCAAAGCCAGATTTTTTTTAAAAAAAATAAACATGGCCCAATGGTCACAGAAAATCATAAAAATGCAGAAAAAAACCACACAAGCTCCCAGATTCTTGCAAACCTCTCCCCAACACCAAGTCCTTGAATTCTAAACACCCCAACCCAAAATCCCAAAATCCCCAAAAAAGTTTTAAAAGTTCAACTTTCCAAACAGCTGTAGAAGAAGTTTTGGAAAAGCTTCAAAATCCAGCAAACTCTTTAAAAAGCTCAGAAAGGCCACCACACCGCGTGCAATGTGTTGCTCCTCGAGGTCAAGTCGCAACTGCACCTCTTCCAGCAATGCACCCTGGGTTTTAACGGTTTTACGAAAAAGGAAACAAACTTGCAAGACGTTTTCGTCTTGCGAAGCAAGCCCATAGGGACATTCGTCTTGCGAAGCAACTCGAAAACGAAAAAACCTTTCGTCTTGCGAGTTTTTCGTCTTGCGAGGTGTTCGTCTTGCGGGGCACCACTGTATACAGGACTGAGGCCATTTGGGGCTTTAAAGGTCAGCACCAACACTTTGACTTATGCTTGGAAACGTACTGGGAGCCAATATACGTCTTTCAGTATGAAGTAGACACTCATGGCAGAGTCCCATCTATTCAGCTGTGAAAGCTTGTTAGGAGAAAAATATCTTCCATTGTTTCTGGAAAGCCAACTGTCCCATTTTTAGTGGGACAACCTGTATCCAAAAGCCAATCCTGACTTCTGTTTCAATCTCAGAATGTCCTGTTTTTCAGTCAAAGAGACACTCACTCTTGTGATTGTCAGCAGAGTCGCGCCAAAGCGCCTTCCTGTCCAGTGATCTGGCGCGACTCTGCTGAATGCCAGAGCACTGGGCAAGAGCATCAAGAGCGAGGGTGAGTGGCGCAAGCAGTCAGTCAGTCAGTCAGTCAGTCAGTTTTATTGCACATAGCCAAAGGCTGCCACAATGCGCACAAGAATCATTCAACAATTAAAAGAAAATATACTGGATTCATACAAAAGAGTTAAAACATTTATGTTATCAAAACATTACGTACTCTAAACAGAGCTATAAAAGTACCCCAATATAAAAATCAAGACATTAAACAAAATTCATAAGCTAAAATCATCACATGGCCACTAATATATCAAAAAACAATGTCAATTAATACTATTAATACTTGGTAACAAAGATAGAACATAGCCTGATGTAGATGTTGTTGTTGTTGTATAGTCGTTTAGTCGTGTCAGACTCGATGTAGATAGGGTCAAATAAATTCATCAGCAGCACATATTCTAAAATAGGAGTGGTGCAAGCAAGTGATGAGTGTCAGGAGGGTGAGGACAAGTAGCGTGAGCTGTGAGAGGTGGCGGGGGGGCAGCATGGTGGGTGTGGGTGTCCTGGATTTTGTTCAGAAAAAGTTGGAGCATTTGGGAAAGTGAAGATAGTGGGTGCCTTCATATTTGGACGGGGATGCTGTTCCACAGAACAGGGGCAACCCAAACTAAGAGCCCTGCTCCAAGTTGCTGTGGAGTGGGGCCCTTTTGTGCAACACAGCCATTTTGGCCACGCTGTCACGGACCGTGCTAAGGAGCGCTGCACTGAGGAGAAATGGTGGAAGTCATACCCTCCACCTGCTCCTGCTCCTGAATCTTCCCAGGAGCAGGAAGACAGTATAGATTTGGAACAGTGGTTTGCAGAGGGGCACAGTTCAGAAGGCAGAAGCTGGGAAATACTGGATGGGGAACAGCTAGGAGAAGAAACACTGGAAGAGAGAGGGTTAACAGATTCACAGTCATTGGACAGCATTTATCCACTCTTCTCAAGGTCAAGAAGAGCTCAGAAAGCCTCAGAACAGAAAATGCAGAGGGTACAAACTCAGATTACAAAACATAGGAGTTACGTAGATTAATAGGAATGGAGGGAGTGTAAGCCTTAATTGTGAGCACCACCATTCTGGGTAGACACTTTCTTTTGTCCTTTGCTGTGTTTAATAAAGAAACTGGTAAAAATTCCTTTTTGTTTGATCTGCTCATTTATGGCCACAGGGGAGGAGGCTGATTCCCCAAAGCCTGACACTCGTGCATTAAAACCAGTTGAATTTTTTCCTTAACTTTCCTGCCCCCTGATGTGATATTTGTTGATGACGTCTTCTCAGAAATGCATGTGTGACTTCCCTACCTGCAATCTGTTTCAGGATGCCAACAGCTCAGGGTCCTCAGCCATCCCTGCTATTGTGACTGACGCGCTCGCTAATGGAGACCAACGAACGCCGTTAGAGACCAGAAGGCAGCTAGAAGCCGCCAGCAGCCCTCTGCCATTAGACGCAGTTGCCAAAGAGGAGAAGGATGAGCACAGAGAGGAGAAGGACGGCCAAGGAGCCAAGGAGCAGGAGCAGAAGAACGCCAAGCAGACCCAGGGAGCCAATAGCGAAATGGAGAAGATGCGCTTAGACTTTGAGCTGACCCTTCTGAAGCGCCAGCACGAGGAGAACGACAAGCAGCGGCAACACGAGGAGAAGATGGAGAACATACGCCAGCACTTGCCATGCAGAACACCTGGCCAAGGGGACGAGGAGCAGCTGGGGAGCAAGTTGGACCCCATCACGGAAATTGAGCTGGAGAAGATGCGCATGGAATTTGAGCTGGCCAAGCTGAAGCAAATCTCCGAGGAGAATGAGCGGCAGCGGCAGCACGAGCGGAAAATGTACGAGGACAAGGAGAAGCAGCGGCAGCACGAGGAAACCATGGAGAAGCTGCGCCTGCGGCAAGGAAATATCCGAGTGCTGGGCCCGAAGGCGACGGGGAGCAAGGCAGAAGCCGCAGCCGAGTCGTTTTCTGAGACCTTTGGTGAGGTGGGGAAGATGAGGATAGAGCTGCAGCTGGCCATGGAAGTCTACTTGCCAGATGTGACTGAAAAGAAGCCCCACTCTGAGCCTAGTGGGCAACAGGAAGGCCCGAAGCCTGAACAGCCGCTGGAGAAGATCCTGGAGGCAGGAAGGCCGCCAGTGCCACCGGAACAGAAGACTGAAGAGGTGACTGAGCACCTGGGTCTGCAGGTGCCCCGCATTGTGGTGAGTGGAGCAGAGTCGGAGTGGTCAAGCAGCAGATTGGACTTAGCCATCGAGACCGAGCTGGAAAAGAGGAGGATGGAGTTTGAGCTGACGAGGCTCAAATACGAGCACGAAGAGAACGAGAGGCAGCGGCAGCATGAGGAGAAGATGGAGCAGCTGCGTCAGCAGCAGGCGCCACCCAAGGAGGTAAAGGGGATACCGGGAGGGAAGAAGGGAGGTTGTGGTCATACCGGGTGGCAAGCCTTTTTCTAGCTCTCTTGTACGCAGAGACCCTTTTGCCTCTTGCCTGCTCTTGTGGGGAGGACTGTAAAATCCAAATAATGTCCTTTGACAAATACAGGCTCCTCCAGATGGATGCTTTATTGCAGGCGGATTCCACAACAAGTTATTGACACAGTGGCAGCTCCCAAGTGATGGGTTTTATCCTGCTCTAGTTTGTTTTCTGATATTCCCACAATGCTGCCACTTTATTTCAGTCTGGAGGGACTATAGCATGACAAAAGCCAGACAGAAATAAAGCAGAACGCTTGCGCTATATAAAAAAGTTACGGGACGTGAGCAGGAAGCTGAGGGATCGGCACTAATTTGAAATGAACCAATGCGACTGCTTGGAAATTTTTGTAGACGCAAACAGTATTGAAAGCAGGGTCTGTGTGACCATCCCAATAGCATCATGAGCACAAATCATCACGAATGTGCAATAAAAAAAAGACATCTGGATGGGTCTCCGGTTAACGCAGCCTTTTCCTCTGGTTTTTACTATAATTTGACCTGTATTTTATGGCATTGCTTTTAAATTTTAAAGATGTACGCTGCCCTCAGACCTTATTGGCAAATGGTAGTATATAGTACTGATTTTAAAAATTAACTATAATCCCACACACACCACAGAAATGAGAGAAAATGGGAAGATGAGATAATGAGTGTTGAAGGTAGTTTGATGGTACTGCCTTCCAAGTTTACATTTTTCTGTTCCGGGGTAGTTGGGCAACATTTGGAGGAACCCGGGTTCCTACCCTGCTGTAGGGCTTATGTTAAAACATCAAATACACCATCAGATACCTGTGATCTTATCAGCACAGGAGTCATCATTTTATGGGTGACATTCCACTGGGGCTCCTGAATGTTTCTAGGCTTATTGCTATTTCACTGCTGGTCACTGGCCTTGGGCACTGGTGGGTTTAACCCTTGAATGGAAATTTGAAAGGGACTAGGTTTGACTCTCTGTCTTCCGAATCCTGTTCATGCAACTCTTTTTCTTTCTTCCACAGTCTGAATGAGGAACCTGTGCCCTGTCTATTGGCTTCCTTCCTTCCATAGGCTGGGCTATCAGCGAATACACACAGAATGTCTCTCCCTTATAACTTTGAACCTCTGCTCTGCATTGCCTGTAGTATATTATACTTTGATAAAACACGCTAGACTCTCTGCCTTATGTTTTCCACCATGAGATGCGTACAGGGAATGACTATTTTGCACGGGCTCAAAGCATGAGCCGTACATGTGCTTGCCATTTTTGGACCCAGAAGAGGGCGGAATGGGGGCAGGGACAGAACAGAGTGGGGTAGGTAGACTTATGTCTGCTCCAGCGATGTGCACAATGACCTGGAACGCAATCCCTGTGCAAATCGGGGGTTGACAATACTCGCAAAGAGTCAATTCAGCAAATACAGGTCTCGTTTTATGGGTAGGCGAGTTGGGAGCTTGTGCCAAAGGCCACACGGAAGAGAGAACCAGACTGAGCTTGGTGACTTGATGTTTGCTGAGTGTATTGCCTGCTGTGAGCTAGAGCAAAATTACTAAGAGCTAACTTTGAGTCAGGGCGCTGGCTATAGGGGCCAGGAAGGGCTTATGCCCCTCAATATTTCATGGCAGGGGCTGACACCCCCAATATTGAGAGTGCTGCCATCTCCCACTGCCCCTAGGCATGTGCTGTCATGCCCTCTGTGCCGCCCACCGCGATCGCCATCACAGGCACCCGCACAGGGTGTCGCACGTGTGACATCATACATGCGCGACAGACCCTCCAATGTTGGGCCCAACTCAGCATGCCTGTTTGGGGTCCTTTTCGTGAACATTTCTAGGGAAACCTGAGAACAGCAGGACACTAGGTTTTGCTGTTCTGAGCAAGCCATGCCACTTGGCAACACTGTAAAACTGACCATGGGAGGCAGGGAACAGAAGTGCTGAAAGCATTTCCTTCCAAGGGTGGTATTTCTCCTAGGGCCAGCCCTGAGAAGAGAGATGTGTTAGACCATTAGTCTCAAGTCCTGGTTCATCTCCCAGCTCAAGCTTGAGCTCTGGGTGTTTAACAGAGAGTCTACAGGTGCTTTTGGCATGTACACAGTACCACAACTGTGCTGCAGAAGTGATACAGGCTCTGCCGGACTGTATGAATATTATTTGAGCTCGTCTGGGTCAGGAGGTGTCATAATCCAGTGATGGGGAGCCTTTGGCCCTCCAGATGTTGTTTGGCTCCAACTCCCATCAGCCCCAGCCAGCATTACCCTTGTTCAGGGATATTATTATTATTATTATTATTATTATTATTATTATTATTAATTAATTAATTGTACCTCGCCCATCTGGCTGGGTTCCCCCAGTCACTCTGGGCGGCTTCCAACAAAGATTAAAAATACATTAAAATGTCAGACATTAAAAACTTCCCTAAACAGGGCTAACTTCAGATGTCTTCTAAATGTCAGGTAGTTGTTTTTCTCTTTGACATGTGGTGGGAGGCGCCACTACCAAGAAGGCCCTCTGCCTGGTTCCCTGTAGCTTTGCTTCTCGCAGTGAGGGAACCGCCAGAAGGCCCTCGCCGCTGGACCTCAGCGTCCGGGCAGAAAAATGGGGGTGCAGACGCTCCTTCAGGTATACTGGGCCGAGGCCATTTATGATGATGGGATGATGGGAGCTGTGGTCCAACAACATCTGAAGGGTGGTTATTTTAATTTTATTTGTTAGTTGTTTTCTCACACAGCAACCAAAACAACTTGCATTAAAAACCAATCACGAGCAAAAATAGAAGTCTAAGAATACAGCAATAG